CCCCAGGGAAGCCCCCAGTGGCTCCTAGAAGGAACCCAGGAGGCTTCCAAAAGGCCCCAACAAACCCTTCAAAACCTTCGTCAGGCTTACAAGAGGCTCTCCTAGGATGAGCCTCCGCAAAAAGAACTGATGATGGCGGCGAATTCGCAGGATAGGGCGAGAATGAGGAAAAGGAAGAGGAAATATGAGGGAAGGATACCTAATAACATTATTACAACGACGATGCCACAAAAGGTGAAAACGAATCGTCGCTAAATGTTCCGTTTTACCTTATTGCCTTCCAGCCTGCATGCCAAACCTGAAAAACCAAAATGCATGGCGCGTAGCGCTAATCCAATCTTGCAGATACGTTATATAATAACTGCCCCACCCCCCGGCCTGGGCCGGCCGACCCGCTGATACCCCCTCCGTTTCGCTCCCAGAGGCGGACCAGAGAGGCCAAGAGGGACCCAAAACGAACCAAGAGGGTTCCAAGAGGCGCCCAAAACGGAGCAAGAAGGTCCCGAGCCGCCCAGTACGGCCCAGGAGGACTCCCAGAGCACTCCCAAGAGGGACCCAAGAGGCCCAAATCATTAAATTCCTATGGGGTAAAATATATTTGAAGCATGTGCGACTTTTCAGCTTTCGCGGCTTTCAGGAAGGTCCAATAGGTTCCCAAGACTTCCCCAAGACAGCCCAAGACGTCTCCAAGAGGCCCCCGAGACAGCCCAAGAGGGCACCAAGACGGCCCAAGGGCCGCCTAAGACGGCCAAGTTGGCCCCAAGACGGCGCCCAAGACGGCCCAAGAAGGCCCCGAGCCGTTCAAAACGGCCCCAAGATGGCCCCAAGACGGTCCAAGAAGGCTCCGAGGCGTCCCAAGAGGCCTCCAAGAGCACTCCCAGGAGGGCCCCAAGAAGCCACAATCGTTGAATCCCTACGGGAAAGCGTGCATTGTTATTATATGCGCCTTTTCGGCCTTAACGGCTTTGAAGACGGCCCAAGAGGCTCCCAAGACTTGCCCAAACGAGCCTAAGACACTCCCAAGAGGCCCTCAAGACAGCCCAAGAGGGGGCCAAGACGGCCCAAGGGCTACCCAAGACGGCCCACGTTAGCCCCAAAACGGGCGCCAACAAGGCCCAAGAAGGCTCCGAGTCACCCAAGACTGTCCAAGATGGCCCCAAGAAGGTCCAAGAAGGCTCCGAGACGTCCCAAGAGGCCTCTAAGAGCACTCCCAAGAGCTCACGAAGGCGAAACGTACATTTTAAGCATATACGATTTGGGAGCCTTCCTGGCTTTCCAAGAGGCCCCCCAAACTTCCCCAAGCGAGCCGAAGACGCTCCCAAGAGGCCCCCAAGATAGCCCTAGAGGGCGCCAAGACGGCCCAAGGGCCGACTAAGACGGCTCCAGGAGGGGTCCAAGAGGGGAACTCCGACTCGAAAGTTGCAGCCTTCCGCCCAAAGAACCTCCCAGCAGGCTCCAAAAGTCCCCAAGAGGCCTCAAGAGGTCCCCAGGAGACCCCCAAGAGGCCCAAACGAGGCCCCAAGAGGCTCAAAACGGATAGAATGGCCTCCAAGAGGTCTCCCAAAAGGGTTCAGAAAGGTCTTCCTGCGGATCGAGGCCCGAGCGAGACCAGGACTGCACCGGGACATATCCTCTCACATTGTGACGCCGACGGCAAGAAGCCGAGTCTCAACGACTTTTCGTTCCCGGCTCCATCCCCCCCCCTTTCCCTCCTCCTCCTCCTCCTCCTCCTCCTCCTCCTCCTCCTTCCTCCTTTTCCTCCTCCTCCTCCTCATCTTCGGTTCCCCTCTCCCTCCTCCTCCTCCTCCTCCTCCACCAACTCTTCCACCCATCCCCCTCCTCTTCCTCCTCCTCCCTTCTCTCTCCTCCCTCCTCCTCCCTCCTCCTCCTCCTCCTCCTCCTCCTCCTCCTCCTCCTCCTCCTCCTTCTTTCTCCTCCTCCTCGTCGTTGTCGTCCTCATCCTCATCCTTCTCCTCCTCCGCCCACATACATAGACATACACATTTAAATATACATACACATATGTATACACATATGTACACGTCTACATGTACATATACAATTGCATATGCATATACATATGCCCCTACATACATATATATATACTAGAACCACGCGCGCGCTTCGCGCGCGCTTAGGTTCTGTCGAGTCACAGACCCAGGAATCGTTGCGAGAAGAAATTGGTGACGCGAAGCGTCTTGGGGGCGTCCTTGGACGTCTGGGGTCTCCTGGGGCCTCTTGGGGGGCCTCCTTAGGGCCTTCTTGGGCTCCATCTGGAAGCCAAGATGGATGCAACAAGAGGGTGCTTGGGCTCTCCGTGAGCTATCCTCTGGTTTTCATTCCCCTGGAGAGGAGAAGGAGGAGGAGGAGGAGGAGGAGAAGGAGGAGGAAGATGCAGAGGAGGGAGGAGGAGGAAAGAGAGGAGATGTTGGGGCGCTCTTGGGCCCTCTTGGGCTCTCTTGGGGCTCGTCGGGGCCCTCGTGGGGCCACCTTGGGCTCCTCTCGGAGCTCCAAGAGGAGCCCACAGAGGGGCCCAACATCGGTCACGCGAGAGCTCTTTCGCGTGACCGATGTTGGGGCCCTCTTGGGGCCCTATTGGGCCTCCTTGGGCCCTCTTGGGGTCTCGACGGGGCCCTCGTGGGGCCATCTTGGGCTCCTCTCGGAGCACCAAGAGGAGCCCAAAGAGGGGGCCCAACATCGGTCACGCGAGAGCTCTTCCGCGTGACCGATGTTGGGGCCATCTTGGGGTTCCTTGGGCCTCCTTGGGCCCACGTGGGGCTCCCTCGGGGCCCTCGTGGGGCCATCTTGGGCCCCTCTTGGAGCTCCAAGAGGAGCCCAAAGAGGGGCTCAACATCGGTCACGCGAGGGCTCTTCCGCGTGACCTATGCTGGGGCTCTCTTGGGTCCCTCTTGGGCCTGCTTGGGTCCTCTTGGGGTCTCGTCGGGGCCCTCGTGGGGCCATCTTTGGCTCCTCTCGGAGCTCCAAGAGGAGCCCACAGAGGGGCCCAACATCGGTCACGCGAGAGCTCTTCCGCGTGACCGATGTTGGGGCTCTCTTGGGGCTCTCTTGGGTCCCTCTTGGGCCTCCTTGGGCCCACGTGGGGTTCCCTCGGGGCGCCCTCTTGGGCCTGTCTTGGGGCCCTCTTGGGCCATCTTGGGCGCCTCTTGGGCCGTCTTGGGGCCCTCTTGGGCTGTCCTGGGGCCCTCTTGGAAGCTTCTTGGGCCGTCTTGGGGCGGTCTTGGGCGCCTCTTGGGCCGTCCTGTAACGTCGGAAAGCCCAAAAGACAACTTTGTTGAAAATGTACGTTTTACGAAGGGAATGGGCAATTTTTGCGTCTAGGGGCCCTCTTGGGACGCATGTTGGAGGCTTCTTGGGGCCTCTTGGGGGCGTCCTTGGACGTCTGGGGTCTCCTGGGGCCTCTTGAGGGGCCTCCTGGGGGCCTCCTGGCGGCCTCTTGGGGCGGAAGGCTCGAGCTTGCGGTTCGTGGTCCCCCTCTGGGCCCCCTCTTGGGCCCGTCTTGGGGCCCTCTTGGGCCATCTTGGGCGCCTCTTGGGCCGTCTTGGGGCCCTCTTGGGCTGTCCTGGGGCCCTCTGGGAAACTTCTTGGGCCGTCTTGGGGCGGTCTTGGGCGCCTCTTGGGCCGTCCTGTAACGTCGGAAAGCCCAAAAGGCGACTTTGTTAAAAATGTACGTTTTACGAAGGGAATGGGCCAATTCTTGCGTCTAGGGGCCCTCTTGGGACGCATGTTGGAGGCTTCTTGGAGCCTCTTGGGGGCGTCCTTGGACGTCTGGGGTCTCCTGGGGCCTCTTGAGGGGCCTCCTGGGGGCCTCCTGGCGGCCTCTTGGGGCGGAAGGCTCGAGCTTGCGGTTCGTGGTCCCCCTCTGGGCCCCCTCTTGGGCCCGTCTTGGGGCCCTCTTGGGCCATCTTGGGCGCCTCTTGGGCCGTCTTGGGGCCCTCTTGGGCTGTCCTGGGGCCCTCTTGGAAGCTTCTTGGGCCGTCTTGGGGCGGTCTTGGGCGCCTCTTGGGCCGTCCTGTAACGTCGGAAAGCCCAAAAGACAACTTTGTTGAAAATGTACGTTTTACGAAGGGAATGGGCCAATTTTTGCGTCTAGGGGCCCTCTTGGGACGCATGTTGGAGGCTTCTTGGGGCCTCTTGGGGGCGTCCTTGGACGTCTGGAGGCCATCTTCAGCATCTCGGAGCCCTCTTGGAGGCCTCTTGGAAGTTTCTTGGGCCGTCTTGGGCGCTTCTTGGGCCGTCTTGTCTGACTGGGGAGGCCTCCGGCAAGCCCCGACGAGCCTCCGGGCCCCCCGGGGTGCACATTTGTGGTCGAGGTCCCGGCCCCGGGCCCCCGGACCCGGTGCGCCGTTATATGTATATATACTCCGATACTCATCGTTATACATGTATAACCATACATACCAGTGTGTATAGATGTGTGCATAGATATTCACACATGCATATACATATACATCTAACTATACATAATCATGTATACGACGACGACGACGGCGACTTCTCGGCCCATTCTCAGGTCGCTGTGGGATGGCCTCAGGAGGTCTTGGAAGTCACTTGGGCCGATACCGTAGTTCTTGGGTGCCCCAGAGGGATTGGTCACAAAATAGAAGTCTTTACAGTTCGACCGTGAAGCCTAGCTAGAGCCTAAGCGCGCGTGAAGCGCGCGCGTGGTTCTAGTATGTATATATATAAATGTGTATATATATAAACATGTATAGATATATACATAGACCATCCGTCCTGAATCCAGCTCGGGGGCGGCCAAGAGGGGGGGTCCAAAGAGGAGGGGGCGCAAATCATGGCCGGCGGCATGTGCGCGGCCCAGGTGGGGAGGCGGGGACGTGTTGTAAGAAGAGGAGGCGCCACGAAATCTGGGGAGATATCATGGCCCCCGCTATGATATCCACACCCCCCTAATCATCACCCCCCTCTTTGCCGCCCCCGACCAGCCCGTGGCCAGCGCGGCGCGGGGCGGACGGCCAGACCTTCCCTCGCCTCCGCCCTGGGGATGGTCGGCCGCGTTCTTGGCACGGCCGCGCACGTGGGGCCTGCGCGCTCCAGGGCTTCCCCCCCGTGCCCCCGCATCCCATCCCCCCCCCCAACCCCCTATCCCACCTCTCCTCCTCCCTCCTATCCCATCCCATCCCCCATCCTTTCATCCCATCACATCCTCCTCCTCCTCCTCCTCCTCCTCCTCCTCCTCCTCCTCCTCCTCCTCCTCCTCCTCCTCCTCCCCCGTCTACAATTACTCAAAATGAATACTACTCTCCTCCTTCCCCTGATGACGGGTTGGGAGTGTTCGCCCCCCCGCGTAGTTTTTTTTTACCTAACAGCGAAGACTGATAGGTTTCTAATGGGGTCAAAAGAGAGCATCATGACTCCTCAGGGGGGTCGGGGCGGGACCCGGGGCGGGACCCGGCGCGGCTGCCGTCGAAGCCCAAATCGCTTGGGACATCCTCGCAAAATCGCTCTTGGCGCTGCTAGAACTCCATTCGCGGCGTACATTTTGGATGCCCGGATCCAACTGTAGGCCACTTCGTGCTCTTCGACTTCCCAGAACTCCATTCCCGGCGTACATTTTGGATGCCCGGAGCCAACTGTAGGCCACTTCGTGGTCTTCGAGTTCCCAGAACTCTATTCCCGGGCCACATTTTGGATGCCCGGAGCCAACTGTAGGCCACTTCGTGCTCTTCGAATTCCCAGAACTCCACTCCCGCGCCACAATTTGAATGCCCGGAGCCAACTGTAGGCCACTTCGTGCTCTTCAAGTTCCCAGAACTACATTCCTGGGCATGATTTTGAATGCCCGGAGCCAACTGTAGGCTACCTCGTGTTCTTCTAGTTCCCAAAACTCCATTCCTGGGCCACATTTTGAATGCTGAGGCAGGCTGATGCTGCGGCCGAGGCAGGCTGAGGCTGAGGCAGGCTGAGGCTGAGGCCGAGGCTGAAGGCAGACTGAGGCTGAGGCTGAAGCAGGCTGAGGCTGAGGCTGAGGCTGAGGCTGAGGCAGGCTGATGCTGAGGCAGGCTGAGGCTGAGGCTGAGGCTGATGCAGGCTGAGGCTGAGGCAGGCTGAGGCTGAGGCCGAGGCTGAAGGCAGACTGAGGCTGAGGCTGAAGCAGGCTGAGGCTGAGGCTGAGGCTGAGGCTGAGGCTGAGGCAGGCTGAGGCAGGCTGAGGCTGAGGCTGACTGCGACTGCCGTTGCCACTGCGACTGTCATCGCGAATGCGATTACGACTGCGAGAACAGCAGAATTCTACAACTGGATTACCATCTGAATCTGAAGGGGAATGCTTCCAGATATGCTCCTACACATCGCTGTTAGGTTGCTTTGCCGGGATAATTACACACAGGATTCCCTGGAGTTGGGTTTTCGCCTGCATTTGTTTTCAAAATGCTGCTCTCGCTGAGGCGCCGGCCTCAGCGAGAGCAGCATTGCTGCAGCGCTGCAGCGCTGGCCGCTGCAGCGCTGGCCTCATTTCCGTGTTTCCGCTCGTTCCGAATCGTGCTCCCGCTGCAGCGCTGGCCTCATTTCCGCGCTTCCGCTCGTTCCGAATCGTGCTCCCGCTGCAACGCTGGCGTCATTTCCCGTGCCATGCCACGGCATGCAATGCAATGCTAGGTTGCGTTCCGCTGCGCGTTGCCATGCCTTCAGCTGAAGCTGTGATATGCAATGCTTAAGTGCTACGTCGTACTATGCCATGCTACGCTTTGAGCTTCAACGCTATGTTATGCAATGTTATGTTCGGGGCCGCTGTGCGATGCCATGCTTTGCGTTGCAAAGCTGTGTGATGCAAGTCTTCACTAAGCCACGCCACGCCATGCTGTGACATACTACGATTTGCGGTGCTCTTCTACGCCATGTCATGCCGTGCTCTACAATGCATCGCGTACCCTATCGGGATCATTGCCCTGCTCGACATCCGACTGTGCGAGTAGAGAGGGGATCTACGCCATGGTAAGGGATGAGAGGGAGGGGTAGGATGTCAGATATGACGCGAGCGCACCTAGCTTGCCTCCTCCCCCTCCCTGCCTCCCTCCCTCACCCTTTTCCTCTTCCTCCTCCTCCTCCTCCTCCTCCTTTTCCTCCCCCTTCTTCCCCCCTTTCCGTCTCCCATCCCATCCCCCACCCCATCCTTCCACCCCCCATCCCATCTCTCCTCCTCCCTCCTTAGGGCTTCCCTGTGACTTCGCTGCCCAGCGAAGATCAACACCGTCCAGCTCTGACGAGGCTTGCAAAGCGAAACGCAGCAGCCCTAGCCCAGGCTGCGAGGTACGATTGCTGGTCGTGCTCGCGCCTGGGAGGGTGTCCGCCCCTGCCCCGCTGCCTGCCCCAAGACCTCCGATGCCAGGAGCAAATTCGTTACATAGGCCACGTCCAGGGGGACGCAAAACTGGGGTACGGCAAAGAGGTGGTGTCAGAGGAAAATCGCCTCGGACGGCTCCTGGAGGAGGAACATATCAGCCTCCAGGTGGGTACCCACCTTGGGCTATACACTCCCATGTGTACCCTTGACCCGAGCTCTCTACCCCCCTTTCCCTGGAAACATTGGCTGGTTTTATCTTGATTGGCAAATCCTTGCCGCCTCGACTGTCCGATCCGCCGCATCACGCTGTGGTCCAATCCTCCCCTCTTCCCATGCACCTCCTCCCTCGTGGGAGGAGGGGAGAGGATTAGAAAGAGGAGAGGATGAGGAGGTAATACAGGAGGGAATAGCCCGGCGTAGGATATATGTTCGCAAGTTTTCGCACAGATTCGGATGGCGCTTGGGGGCATTCAGAAATTTCCAGCAGGGGAATAGGGAGGATGGAGGGGAACGGAGATGAGAGGGAAGAGCGCGGGTACATAGTGCTCGGCAGTCCTTGCTCCAAGAGACACACACACCCATACACACACTCACATACATACACGCACACACGAGCACGGAAGCAGAAAGCAAGCAAAGCAGCAGGACTTGCACACAAAGCAGGATCAGGAGCAAAGGAGGTAAAGGGGGCCCAACGTCGAGACCAATCATCCCCGAATGGTTGCTGGACCCAATATCGCGAGGAGAGACGCAGGAGCGTGCGACTTGAAGGCTGGATGGAGGCCAAAACGCAAGCCCAGTGGTGCACTGGAAGAGTAGAGGGTGGGGACGGTGTGGAGATTCTTCGAGGGCCAGGCTTGGGAGGCACTCTTTGCCACGACTCACAGCCTACTGAGCAAGCCAGAGTAGGAAGCTGCTAAACTGGATTAGGCTGGACGCGCCCTGATCACAGCTGAGTTAACCCGACCCGGACTCGACTACGTAGCACCAAGGGGAAACAGGGGGCGATGGCACACGCACACACACATCTCTTCTTCACAGGGGTTGCAGTCCGACTCAGAAAGGCGTGCAGAGGTAGGGGATGTGGAGGGCGAGGGCGATGGCTCGCAGCAGCGCCTGATGCCCAAGTGGACCGACTTGCCCGCCTGGACGCCGAACAGAGAGGGGAAGATGAACGGGAGCGGCAGAGACCACGCGCGGGAGCTGCAAGCGCAGGGTATAGGCAAACGACCACGGGGCGAAGGCAGGCGAGGGCAGGGATGATGCACGAAAGAACTGGACAGACAGAGGTGCGGCAACAGCGAGGGCCCGATAGTAGATCGCGACCCAAACGCACCGAACATGGAGGCATCCCTGAGAAATGGGGGGCCGCTGTGCACATTGTGCGCAAGACCACGCAACGCATTCTTTGTGTATTGAGGCCATGCCAGCGGCATCCAAAATATTGCGCATGCGATGCGGGCACACGACGTATCCGAGGACACCCCCTACTCTTCCAGATCGTTATCGTTCCTCGTCATCCCCCCGTGTTCAACATCATCATCATCATCATCATCACCATCATCATCATCAGCAGCAGCAGCAGCAGGAGCAGCCATGATCAACACCATGCAGCAGGACCAGCAGCAGGAGCAGGAAGCTCAATCACAATCACCATGATCATCATCACCATCACCATCACCATCACCATCATCATCAGCATCATCATCATCCTCATCCTCCTCATCATCAGCATCATCCTCACCCTCATCGGCATCCTCATCCTCATCCTCACCCTCATTATCATTATCATCGTCGTTGTCGTCGACGCAGTCGTCGTCGTGGTCGTCGACGTCGCCGTCGTCATTACCACCATCATCACCATCATCATCATCAGCATCACCATCCTCATCATCATCGTCATACTCAGCACCATAACCTTCTTCACCATCACCATCACCATCATCCTCATCATCATCAGTAGCAGCAGCATCATCATCAGCATCATCATCGCCAGCTTCAGTACCCTCATCATCCTCATCATCAGCATCATCATCATCATGCTCAGCATTATCAGCGTCGCCAACGTCACCTTCATCGTCATCATCAGTATAATCCGCATCATCAGCAGCATGATTACCATCCTCGTCGTTATCATCATCATCACCACCACCATCGTCATCATCAGCATCGTCATCATCATCAACATAATCATCATCATCATCATCATCATCATCATCATCATCATCATCATCATCATCATCATCATCATCCACATCATCATTCACATCATCATCCATGCTTCACTACGGTTTACGGGGCTAAACCACATTCGCGCGGTCTACGGACATTGCCGCAATGTGATGGTAATGACAAGCTTGACGATGACAGGATGCCCGCACGTCCTTGGAGCTGTTGTGCACGAGAATGCTACCAGCGTACTTGCACAACCGCACCAAGTACATGTTGCACACTGACGTAATCAATAGCGAAGGAGTTCTGTCTGCAAAGAAGCGGGGGGGGGAACAGAAATGACTCCCCTCCCTATTTCATGGCGTTGCTACACGCCAAATTAAACTACGACCCCACCATGGCGGGATGTGACGTTCCTTTTGCTTTATCGTAATCCGAATGTAACACAGCCAGCACTATCAATAGAGCACCAACGACTGGTCAGGGGGGCGCCATTCCAAACGATTTCGAATGGGAAACCACTCCGTAATCAAACAATGTTGGGGGGCTAGGGTGGGCACATCCCCAATGCGGCTATGAACTCTGCCAGAGGCAAGAATGCGCGCAAGTACTCATGACTTCGGATTGCACCACACGTGCGAATCCAAGAACTCTGCGGTGCCTACGGTGGGCGCCACCACTAATGCGTTTCAATAAACAAGTTAAGTATGGATTCTGCAAGAATCCGGGGGGGGGGGTCGCGCCACTCCTAGTGAATGCGGATTTCAAAACATATCAGGAATCAACGAATTCTGCAATGGTATTACGTTTCTCCTCCACATCCTCCTCCTCCTCCTGCACCACATCCTGCACCTGTCCCTGTTGCTCCTCCTGCTCCCTTTCCTCCCGTTCCTCCTCCTCCTCCTCCTACTACTCCTCCTGATCTTCCTCCTTCTCCTCCATCCCTCATCTCCACCCTCGCTCCTGTGGGGAGGGGCGGCGCCTTTCCGAGCTTAATGAGGTTGTGCTCAGGGCGGCCTACCTTGCCGATGGTGCACCAGCAGGTCTTCGGCAGCATGCGAACCTGCCAGTACAACCCCGACAAAACGTTTCTCCTCTTGGGAATCGCTCCGAGCACCATTCGTCTGGGCATCGTTTGCTCTGCGCGTGCATTAGGGTGCACCACGTGATCGAGGGAAACCAAGATGTGAACATTAATGTAACACTGTGTCAAAACATCGTCATCCTAATCATCATATTAAGCGCCGTAGTCCTCTTCGTGATGAACAACAAAGCAAGACCACCATCACCATCCATAACACAATCGATGCTCCGTCCTTATCATGATTACCCGTTGTGTTCATCTCCCACCCTTCGTCCTAATCCAAACTTCGACCCTCCCATTTCCTGGCCGCACTCCTACCGTGAACAAGCAAGTCAACAAGTTCAGCATTCTAGATCATTGGCGGTGGGAACGATCATGCGCCCTGCTGGCGCGTCTGGTGGTGCGTTGAGGTGGCGATACGCGCAACAAGAAACAGGATGGAGGAGAGGGGGTTGGTTGTCGAGCGTGGCCACGGGGCACCGTTCGAGATTGCCTCACGCAACTGGCGGAAGTGGGAGATACGCAAAACTCAACGCACAATAAACAGACCTGCGAGATCCGTAACTTAGCCTGGCGAAGAACCCAAACACATGCAAATGTGAATGCCGCAATTGTGGGTCTCGCCTTCCGCGGAGCTCCCTATGGGCCACGAAACGCCGTACTGGGTGGGGGGGGCACATGCGCACTGCGCCACCTGGGACCTTCGGTGGAGCCCCCTCTGGGGCCACGCAGCGCTGCACTGGGCGGGGAGGACGCGTGCGAACTGCGCCACCTGGGATTTTCGGTGGGGCCGCCTCTTGGGCCACGAAACGCTGTACTGGGCAGGGGGGCGCATGCGAACTGCGCAACTGGGAACATCGGTGGAGCTCCTGCTGAGGCAACGAAACGCTGTACTGGGCAGGGGGGGCGCATGCGAACTGCGCCACTGGGACATTCAGTGGAGCTCCCGCTGGGGCCACGCTCGGCGACACGCTGCGCTGTTCTGGGCGCCGGGGGGGGGGGCGCATGCGAACTGCGCCAGTGTGACCTGCGGTGGAGATCCGTCTGGGGCCACGAAGCGCTGTCCTGGGCGGGGGGGGGCGCATGCGAACTGCGCCACTGGGACATTCGGTGGAGCTCCCTATGGGGCCACGAAGCGCTGTATAGGGTGGGGAGGGACGCATGCGAACTGCGCCACTGGGACCTTCGGTGGAGCTCCCTCTGGGGCCACGAAGCGCTGTTCTGGGAGGGGGGGACGCATGCGAACTGCGCAACTGGGACCTTCGGTGGAGCTCCCTATGGGGCCACGAAGCGCTGTACTGGGAACGCGGGACGCATGCGAACTGCGCCACTGTGACCTCCGGTGGAGCTCTCTATGGGGCCACGAAGCGCTGTCCTGGGCGGGGGGGACGCATGCGAACTGCACCATTGGGACCGGTGGAACTCCCTCTAGGGCCACGAAACGCTGTACTGGGCGGGGAGGGACGCATGCGAACTGCGCCACTGGGACCTTCGGTGGAGCTCCCTCTGGGGCCACGAAGCGCTGTCCTGGGCGGGGGGGACGCATGCGAACTGCGCAACTGGGACCTTCGGTGGAGCTCCCTATGGGGCCACGAAGCGCTGTACTGGGAACGCGGGACGCATGCGAACTGCGCCACTGTGACCTCCGGTGGAGCTCTCTATGGGGCCACGAAGCGATGTACTGGGCGGGGTGGGACGCATGCGAACTGCGCAACTGGGATTTTCGGTGGAGCTCCCTCTGGGGCCACGAAGCGCTGTACCGGGCGGGGGGGACGCATGCGAATTGCGCAACTGGGACCTTCGGTGGAACTCCCTATGGGGCCACGAAACGCTGTACTGGGCGCGGGGGACGCATGCGCTCCCCCTGGGGCCACGAAACGCTGTACTGGGAGTGAGGGACGCGTGCGACTTGCGGAGGAAGGAGGAGGAGGAGGAGGAGGGGACGAGGAGAGGAGGATAGGTGGGACGTGGGGACCAGTTTCTTCAAAACGAGGACCCAACACCACAGGTAGGGAAATACAAACACACGGGACCAGGCTGGGGGAGACACGTGAGAGTCAAGCCAAGGGATGAGGAGGCGGAAGAGGAGGAGTAATAAGGAGGGGCGGCGGAAGAGGAGGAGGATGAGGAAGAGGGAGGAGAAGGAGGGGAAGGAGGAAAAGGAGGGGGATGGTAAAGCGAGCTGGAGGAGGAGGATGGGGGTGGAGTTGGAGGGGGAGTGGAGTAGAAGAGCTGGGAGAGCAGGGAGAGAGGCAGAGGGGCATGCGCGGCACAACGTGAAGATGCGGGAACGAGAAAGGGGGGAGGAAGGGGAGAAAACATCTTGCGTCGGCGGCGAGGCAAGGGAAAACTGCGCTAACGGAAAGGCCTGAACGGAGATGTCGTTATGGCGAATTGAATTGAGCCACCATGCAAGAGGGGGAGGAGGTGGACGGTGCGGCCGAAAAAAGGGCGGGAGAAGCGAGGGGGAGGAAACACACGGCAGATGGAACCACCACTCCCTCGCACTCCCATGCAGCCGCTAAGGCCAACTTAGGGGGGCTTGCATGGTTGGGGAACTGTCCTTGCGAGGTTGTGGCCCGGCCCCTCTCGGAACGGGCTGAGCAGTAGTGGCGGCAGGCTAGCGGCCATCAACAGTGGCTGCACGTCCGCAAGGGTGGCAAACATGCATGCGCCATCGACGCTGAACTCCATGGGCCCAGGGACCGACAAAACAACATCCTTGGGCCACGACTAGGCCCCTGGATTACATTCGGACGCGAGCGTCTCCACCAATTTATTTCTCCCGATCGCATACCAGCCAACCACGGGCACATCACTAACACCCACCACGCCTGGAGAAAGTGTATAAGCTTGCCAGAGCAGCTGTGCTCTGTTTGGATCCCGAACGCGCCGATTCAGGAGAGAGAGAGAGAGAGGCGAGGGCCTCCTTGGGCTTCCTATGATCCGTAGCAGCAGCATCGGCAAGAGCGCGCCTCGCACGCCTCCGAACCAAGGCCGTCACAGCATCCCACTGATCAGAGGGCGGAGGCGAGGAGACAACGGCTAGGGGGAGCAATTTCGCTCCGCATCTTCTTCAGCCGCCAGGTCCACAGCCGCATTTCCCGTGACGAGAGGAGACACCCTGTCGGCGAGCTCTGGCGACTCGAGAGCAGTGTGCGATGGGGGTCCACTCAACGGTGGACACTCCCCCGCCCCGAGAAGCCAAAGACTGGCGAATGCGCATCGAAAGATCCCCGCTCCGCCCGTCATAAACGCGAGCCCACCCCTGCCCCCATCCTACAAACAAGGGCTTGAAACACGGGCGGATCCTCGAGAGAGCTCTACTCGCCATCGCTCGGACGTCTATTCCCCGTGAATTGTGTTGTTTCGTGCGTTCTTCTTCGCCAGATGATGCAGGATGCTCCTCGATAGTCCTGGCCGAGAAAATATCGGCGGCGCGCCCAAGGGGGAAATGAGAAAGAACAGACCTTCTTAGAAAGCGGCGGGGCTTCTCGGAAACCCTCCAGCCTTCTGAGACGTTTTCCGTGTCGTCAGGGATAACCTCGAACACTTCTCAGAAGGCCCGAGGCCTGACCAGCCTTCTGAGAAGGCCCGCCCCCGCTCACTCCCCCTGGGCTCGCCGTCGAACAGATACGCACGTCCGAGCGATGCCAAGTCTAGGGCGAGGGCAAGCGCAATGAAATCTTGGAGCTGAGCGAGGCAGGGTCCGAGCTATTGAACAGCGAGGCCAGCCGACGCGCCGCCACGGAGTTCGGGGGGGCCCTCGGCGTTCTGAGCCAAGACAGCGGCGACGACCACACCGACGTTATGTTGCATCTTCGGGGGGGGCGTCTTTTTGTTTGATTACCTCTAAGCCGGAAACCAACTAGATGACACCATACCGCAATCAACACGCGCCGGCTGGAAGATCGCACTACACTCTCGCAAACCCTTCCCACCCCGCCGGGCCACGCACAGAACGCCATCCTGTCAGGGGACCTTGCCTGTCCAATCGTGCCCATATCCGCGTCGAATCTGTGTCGGATCCATGCCGGGCTCGTCGAATCCGCGCCGGGTCCGCGTCGAATCCGCAACAGATCCGCGTCGAGACCGCATCGAGCCCGCGTCGAGCTCAAGAAAATACTTGAAATTTGGGAACAGACGAGGTCCCCGAAGATGCAGCGTAACCGACAGCGACGAGGATCTAACAAGAAACGACCGCAGAGTCACGGCCAAGCATTATGGTAGCAGTTCGAACGCCATACAGCAGGTAGCAAGCAAGACACCGCCGACGTCGACCACGCCCTCCACCGCGCCAGGCTCAACAAACGTCGGATGAGCGAGGTCGCGGGGCGGAATCCCGCGAAACCACAGGCCAAGGCTCGCATCCGCTTCAGCAAGAGCCTGCGGGACCAGACAACATAGTATTCATGGCCCTGACTGGCCTACCAAAGCCAAACTTGGTGAAACTGGTTTCGGGGCCGTTTTACAGCGCGGGCCTCACTACCGCTCGGGCTTGTGTATAGGGAAACGACGACACCGAGGCCGCTGGGCACAAGCGACCGTAGCTAAGCCAAGGCCAAGCTCACTGCAAAGACCGTCAGTGGAGAAACGAGCAACAAAGACAAATCGCCCCACTTTTGCAGGTCCAAGCCCGCCCTGTGTTGGATCGCCCTGGCCCCGTGCAGCGCTCGAAGATCCCCCAAAAATCCTCAAGCAACATGTCGTGCCCGATCAGGGTGGAGGCGGGGGCTTACCAAGGTTCTGCATCACCTCGCCCTGCGCCACCTGGACGACGCACCAGCCTGCTTCGACAAACGGAGCGAGCTGGACCGCGCCGTCTCTGCCCTGGAACGACGCCGAGGGTGCGTTTGCCAGCGGACCAACAAATCAACATCAAATTGATGACGGACCTCTACCCCAGGGTCCGTCACCCCGGACTGCCCCTAAAATGGTCGGAAGATATTGGCCCGGGGGGCTTCCCAACCACGGTGGAGGCCGCGTTCCTATGTGAAGCTAGAAAGCTGCTGGGAGATAGGCCTTGCGCCTTCGGAGGTGCTCCCGTGGTCCAAAGCCTATGGGTCACCTCCTTGAGGCGAGCGTTCTGCCCCTTTCTCTGCAACCTTCGGAAGGAAGCCTTAAACCTCGGTTTGGCCTTCGCAAGAATTCGACATCTCCCCGAACTGACTTCAGCCCCGAGATCAACGGCATCACGGGAACGCGAAACGGGAGACCCGCCTGCGACCGAGGGCGTGAAAGAGGTAATCAGCTGGGTCTTGTCAGAGATCACTAGACGGCTGCAAACTCATTTTGCGAACCAGAAGCCGTCTGCACTAGCTGCTGCTCGACCACCGCCACCTTCGAGACAGTACCATCGATCAATGTGCACCAAGTTGCGAAGGCAGCCCGCTGGCGGGCAACACAAGATGCAACAACAACTTAGCAGCCCTGACCTCAAGAAGGGAACACACAATTAAGGAGCGGGTGGGGTGGATGCGTCGGCAACCCCGTGCTGTCCGCACAGTATGCGCGGTGCTGCGCAGAGCTGAACCTCAACGCTGGTCACCACAACTGGAAAGTTCCAAATCCAAATGACGCCGTCTTGCAACTTTTCCAGGTTGAGGAAAACGTAGCAACCGCCACAACTAGGAAATCGACTTCGTACCAATGGGAACGATGGGGCGCAACCTGTAAGGAGAGCAGCCTGCAAAACCGAACATGGCACGCGCGGGATCCAACAACATATCCAAAGGGTTTGTCCGTTCCCGTCGTTCGTTCGTCGTTTCCGTCGTCTCCTGTCCCTGCGCCCACCCTTTCCCTGGCCCAGTCGTCTCCTGTCCCTGCGCTCCCCCTTTCCCTGGGCCCGTCTCCCCTCCTCCCCTTTTCCCCCTCTTCCCTGGGCCCGTCGCCGCTCCCCCCCCGCTTTTCCAGTGCCCCCCCCCCCTCAAGAGCAACGCTGTCATTGAGTCGAAGGGAAGCCCGTTCCCTTTGATCCCTCCCCTGCCAGGGGGGGGGGTCCCGGGGGGGGGTCCCGAGAGGGGCGGTCCTGGGGGGTTCCCGCGTCAGATACGACTCCCCCCGGGGTCCAACGGGCGCACACAAAGCATCCAACGGGCCAAGAGCCGAGGCATTCTGCCACGCCCCAGCCCCGGCCCCGGCCCCAGTCCAGCCACAGCCCCGGCTCCGCTTCCGGCCCCGGCCTCGGCCTCGGCCGGCCCGCCCCTGGGCCCGGCCCGAGTCTCTGCCCCGGCCGGCCCCGGCCCCCGCCCCGCTGCAGGCCCCAGCCCCGGACCCAATCCCGGCTTCGGCCCCGGCCCTGGCCCCGCCCCCGCCGGCCCCGGCCCCCCGGCCAGGGCCAGCCCCAGCGCCCTCCAAATCGAACTACAACTCCGTGGCCTCCCAGATGCCCAAGGTGCCGGACCTAGTTTCAAAACAGCGAACGAAGCCTGAAAGTCGCCCCAGGAGGGCTCCAAGACGCCCCGAATGGTCCTGGTAGGCAACCGGCGTCGTCGTCAACATCATTAACATCCTCGCCATTATCTCCTCCCTCCTTCTCCTCCTCATGATCGCCACGCTCTACCTCGCCCCTGCCCTTCCTTCGTGCCCCCCGTGACCCTGCTCGCCTCACTTTACTCCTATTCATTCCCCCCCTGTGCTCCTACTGGTTCTCATCCACCTCTTCCTCCTGTCCCCCTCCTCATATTCCTCCACATGCTCCGCGCCCTCCCCCCCAACCTCAGGGTCGGCGGCACTGGCCGTAAGGCCTTCGCAATATCCGAGTACCTGAGTGCACTGGGAAGTGAGACCGCACCTCTTCCTTGACCACGTTTTAGCAGATTCGGCCAACAACCCTATGGCGCGCTCACCGCCTCGAGGATATGGCAGGAACGCACCAATAATAGCAACGAACTGAATTGGCCAAGCGTTGCCTTTCTCCACCGCACTCAGTATTGCAATCTACTCGAGCTACCCTCTCTAGGCATGCACTGAAGGCCCACTGACGCGAGACCGTTCCTGGGAAGACTGAGCCACGGAGCTACACATGTCAAGCCAACAGGCACGAACTTCCTCTGGCTCTTTCTATAGAGGCCACCCGGCACCCATGCCATCCGCATCGGCGCCGCGACGATGGATTTGGAAAGACAAACGGCCTGCCGCGATGGGTCTCTGCCATGGCGGCGAAGCCCGAGACAACGCCCGAGCTGGGAGCGAAAAATCTCCCACCGCTCCGCCGACCCATCGGTCATGTGCCCACCGCATGGCGTGGTCCGAGACCTTCGCCGGCATGCTGAATAGCCAGACGTCCTACCAGTGACCGACTCGGCAGCATCGCACGAGGAATCCAGCCGTCGCAACGTATACATCTGCAAGATGACCACCCAGCGCCCAGCGCGCGCCCAGAAAAGGCCTGATCGCATCCCGCCGCACGTCGCAACTGCACCAAATGACCCGAATGCACTTCGCGGCAATGTTCCCCAGGCAAAGTGACCTCGGCTTCACACGAGGCCATTATATCCGCGGAGAGAAAAACTTGGTCTGAGGCTCTTGAGGGTCGAAAGCGACCAGCTTCTTGTGCCACCAAGCCTGAGCAGCACCTCCAAGGTAACCCGCAAAACCACGCGTGCCTTCCACCCACCACGAGGAGACCTGAGACACTGACGCGCTGAGAACAAAACACTACGAACCACCGAAACTCGATCAGGCTGCCCTCATCAGTGAGCATCGTTTAACCGACCCATATCCCAATGTGCGTGGCCAGGGCCCCACTGGCCGACTTGCCCCCCTAGATGGGGATACAGGCAGGTTCCTTCGGGTGTCAAGGGGTGATCCCCAACTAGGGTGCTGAGATTGTGGGGGTCTGGGTGGGGATGGGGATGGGGATAGGGGTCGGCTCAACGATCCTGAAGTACGAGCCCGCAGAAAAATCGATCAGACTTCCCTCATCAGTTCAATCACAAGTGGCCACGCAAGCGCCTGGGACAACAACATGTACTCCCACCTCGAGGGGCAAGCTCAGCTTGGACACAGCATGAGGAGACATGTGCCTACTTCCGACGACAACTCAGGGATCAAATAAACCTTTAACGAACGTACTGGCCACGGCAAAAAGCCGATCGATTTACAACCCGTCGTGCCAAGCCCTGTGCGAACCCATGATCACAACGCTGCCTGAAGAACTGCTAGGTCAGAGTACCCAAACCCCGAAAAGGGTGGCGTTGTCGATTCGCGACAGGGGCGTGACGAACGCTGCCGAAGGAGGAGGCGAGGTGCATCGCCCTGTCGGAGTGCTCTGGCGTACAGGGACCCTCCACCACCCATCTTCATATAGACCGCCCTCCGCGCCGTCCAGAAACGCATTCGAGGCAGCGTGGGTTTCCACAGAGACGGCAGCCTCAAGTCCATACGAGTTTAGGAAACGCGCGGCCGTGGGACCTCACTGAGTGATATGACCGTGCAGACAATCGCATACTGTGGGCACACATCGACCTTGCCTAAGGACACGGTTCCTCATGTGGAATAGGCGCATAAGCTCGTGCGGTGGCCGATTGGCTGATTGGGCTACGCCTCAACTTCGACATCAAGTCCGATCACGTCCTTTGCGAAATGAGTCACGAAATCGCGGCCGGTGGGTTAAGGCAGCAAGGGATGAGGAGGTAGAGAAGTCATGAGGAGGGGGAGTGGAGTAGTTAGCAAGTGAGCAAGTGAGGAATAAAACAATGATAAGCGGGAAGAGCAGGCAGAGAGGAATAGGAGCCAAGACTCGAGGAGGAGATCTCATTGTCCTCCTCTTCCCCATCGTCCTCCTCCTCCTCCCCCAGCCGCAGTAGCAACATTATTTCATCAGGGGATATACAGGAAAAGCGGCGTGCGCCTCCGTGCTGGGGAGCTTGAAAGTCACATACTTGTCGTCCTGCCCCAAGGCCCCGGCTCTGTCCGTGGCAGACGGCGCCCGCTGCTTCCCAACGGGCCTTGGAAACGAACGACAACTCGCATTCCACTTTTTTTCCTCCCGAGTCCGCATGATTATCCTCCTCCTCCTCCTCCTGCGAACTCCTCCTCCTACTGCTCCTCCTCCGCCTCACCCTCAGAATCTCCCTGGGAGACTATGTGGCCCCAGCCGCGACATCCATCCACCATGGTCCTCACCCCCCGCTTCGCCACCCCCGAACACGTACTGCCCCGAGCCAGGGTGTGACCATCGTTGTCCTGCCAGGATGTCCACACACACCCAGGCCCGCACCCCCCCTTGCAGTTATCAGGGTCGGCGAGTCGACCCGCGCAGAGTCTGCAGCTGAAGGCCGAAACGGTACGCGCCAGAGAGCACGGTCGCTTTTGCTATTTTTTGGGGGAGCCTCCGCCAAGCTGCTGATCCTGCAAGCTCATCCTCCTTATCTTCATCACCCTCTCCCTCCCATCTCCCTCCATGCCACCCCAATGCTAAGCAAACACCAGCGCACGCCAGAGCCTTTCACAACAAAAACACGCAAAACCTGATCATCCTCCGCCTCCTCCTCTTCTAGCCCCCTCCTCCTCCTCTTCCTCCTCCTCCTCCTCCTCTTCCTCCTCCTCTTCCTCCTCCGCCTCCTCCTCCTCTTCTTTCTCCTCCTTCTTTTCGTCCTCCTCTCCTCCACCACCTCCTCCTCCACCACACCTCCTCCTCCTCGTCCTCCTCCTCTCTCGTCTCCTCCTCTTCCTCTTCTCCTCCTCCTCCTCATCCTCCTCCTCCTCCTCTCTCCCCGCTCATCCTCTCCTCCTCCTCCTCCTCCGCCTCCTCCTCCTCCGCCTCTTCCTCCTCCTCCGCCTCCTCATCCCCCTCCTCCTCCCCCTCCTGTTCTTTCTCCTCCTGTTGTTCTTCCCTCTCCTCCTCCTCCTCTTCCTCCTCCTCCTCCACCTACCTCATCCCTCGTCCCTCCTCTTCCTATCTCCCACCTGTAGCTAACTAACGTTTCTTCTTCCTCCTCCTCCTCAGCAGCAGCATCAGCATCAGCATCGGCATCCGCATCGTCGTCGTCTTCGTCGTCGTCACCATCGGAATCATACTCATCATCAACACCACCACCATCACCATCATCCACAGCATAAGCAGCACCACCATCATTAGCAGCAACAGAAGGAACACCATCGTCGCCATACCCCCCCCACCACCACCACCACCACCACAATCAGCATCACCATCATCATCATCATCATCATCATCATCATCATCATCATCACCATCACCATCATCATCATCATCATCATCAGCATCATCATCATCATCATCATCATCAACATTCGCATCATCATCATCATCAGCATCATCATCATCATCATCATCATCATCATCATCGTCATCGTCATCATCACCACCTTTTTGTCACCACCATTATTTGCATCACCACCACCCCACTCACCACCAGCATCACAATCACCAACCCCATCATGCGCAACACCATCATCATCATCAACACCACCACCATCATCATCGTTGCCAACACCAACATCGCCAACCGCATCTCCGTCATCATCTCCAGCATCGTCAACGTCACCAGCATCACCAACACGGGTAGCACCATCACCGTAATCATCACCAGCCGCAGCAACATTATCAGCATCAACATTCGCATCATCATCAGCAGCATCATCCTGATCAGCAGCGGCATCCCCATCATTATCACGCACATCGTAATCAACATCGCGATAATCGTCGATCGTTGCCATCATCATCATCATCATCATCATCATCATCATCATCATCGTCATCATCATCAGCATCATCATAAGAAATCATATCATATCATATCATATCATATAATATCATACCATATCGTACCGTATCATATCATATGATAGCATATCATATCATGTCATACCATATCGCATTATACCATCATCATCATCATCATCATCATCATCATCATCATCATCATCAGCATCAGACAACACCGCCGGCCCAGGCCGCGAAACGCTGACCTCCTCAACGACCTGGCCCCCCGAGCGACTCCATCCTCTGTTTCCTCCTCCTCCGCCTCCTCCACCATCGGGTCCTGCTCCACCTCCGACATCTCCGCCCCCTCCCCCCTGAATCGTCGACCCAACGCGTCGCTCAGCGGGGCGCCCTGGGGCAGCGCTGGGAGAACGGTCACAACGGCCGCCCCTGGGCGGCCCGCGGCGGGCCAGTCTGGGGGCCCGGGCCCCCTGCGAGGCTCCAGAGGGAACGGCCCCTGGTCTCGGGGCCGCGCAGGGCCAAGCAGAATACAGCAGGGACGGTGCACTTGGGCCTCGGGGTGCCTCTCGCCTCTGGGGAGCATCGGAACACTCTAACAAGGGGAGCAGGCATCTACTCTGCTCGGCTCTACTCTACCCTCTCTACTGTACCCTGCGCTGCCCCATGTCACTTGGCGCTGCTCGTCCATCTACCATGCTCTACTCTTCTCGGATATTACGTCTTCCGCCGCAGGCGACATTTCTCTACTCGACATGGCTCTGCTCTACGCGACTCGGACTCGATACTTTCTTTGTTCCACTCTAGTCGGCTCCCATCTAATCTACCCTGTTACTCCTACCATGCTCTATTCGTGACCTGAGTTGCTCAACTCCTCTGTGTACTTCTCTACTTTGCTCGGCCCCACTCTACGTTACTCCTGATTTGAACCTTTGCCCTGCGACTGTCGGGACGCCGTTGGGACAGCCAGAGAGATCCACTGCAACGGCAAAGCAGGCCGCTGCAATTGCAAACATGGTTGTTGAAATAGCAGGGGGAACCATTGCAATAGTCTGTGACAACATAGCTGTGGAGGCCTCAGCGGGTCAATGAAATCTTGTGGTGCCGCGCCCTGAATCCCAGCCTCTGCGGGCTGGAACAAGACGGCCTCGAGCGCAGCAACAGGCGGCAGCAGTAATAAAAACAAAGACGCGGGTACCAGCAATGAGATTCTTAGAAGTAGCAACACGAATGCTA